GTGCGGATGGCGGTGTGTAGCTGGGGTTGATGAAACGCCGTGTAATCTGCATGTACCACTCCATGTATGGATCGTATGGATCCATAACGCCGTGGATGGGGTCACCAGTGACGACGAACTCCAACCGTCGATGCCACAAGTCAATGTATTGGGCATGCTCCGTCCGCCAGTTCCTGTCGCTCTTTCCCCGACGGTCAATGCGGTGCAGCCGGGCACTAGTGTCACAATGCTGGGGGACAGTCTGTCGTAGTCCAAACTGTCGCATGACTCGATCTGGTAGGTGACCCTCGACGACCTCAAAACAGATCAGGGGGACCCTAGAACGCCACTGCGCCTGATGATCTAGCAGATGTGGAGGCATGGCAGCAACTAAATCAGCTTCATACGGGTCCCATGTCATCTGCGATAACACATAAAAAGTAACATAATAAACAGGTTAGTGCATATTAAATATGTTAAGAGTATACATAATAAATAACAATTTCATAAACAAATTAAAGATTTCACCTGATCCTCGGTCAGTCGATCAAGGGCGTCTCGGTAGTACGGCAGGCCCCTCGCCGCATGCGCATATGTCAGCTTGGGGACCGCCCATCTGCAAGCGTACGCCTCGTCAGCGGAAGGCCGTGGTGGAGGAATGTACCGCTCATACTGCTGGTCCTGATCCTGCTGCCCCTGACGATGTATAGCAGGCCTACCTGGCCTGCATACATGGATGTGCTCCCAAGACCAATACTGGACATCAAACACACAAAACTAGGTTAATTGTAAACTAAGTAAGAACTTTCCGAATTAAATTGTTAACAGATAGGTAAGTTACCTGAAGCAAAAATAACGGTCCGCTGATCTCACGAGAACCCCGGCGGGATGCTCTACACAGATGGCGATACAACATCGCCAGACAAGCACTGCCCCAGCTGTAGCCACGAATATGCTCCCAGTCATGGTATACCAGCTGCAGGTAAATGATCTGTAAATGGCTGCCACTCTTGCCACCGAACAACACACCCGAGATGAGCAGAAAAAAGGTACGCTCGAGCATGTCTCGCAATAGTGGCCTCATCAGCACCATCAGGCAACACATGAAAAGTGTCGCGTATCCAGCCGGTCCTCAATCCGCCGCCCCTGATATCGTCCGGTCCTGGCTGAACCCCGAGAACCTGAGCTACATAACCAGGGGGATCGGCCAACGCAGATCCAGACACCGGACTCCCATGAATGGGAAGCCGTGTGAGTATCGCCACGTCTCGCAACGTCACGGTCGCCTCCCCAACAGGTAGATGGAAGGAGTGCGTCTCCTGCCTCCATCTCTCCACAAGCGCAGTAACAAGCGTTGGGTCGACCTCTCTGAACGCCATCCGATGTATACCCATGAAGCCAGCGTACTCCACGAAAGGCAGAATACGGGGATCGATAACCCAATCGCCAAGGAACGCGACAGTGTAGTGCCTGCATGTCAGTATGCCCGCCGGATCAACCGACTGACTCCAAATGTCAACGCTACGATGTGTGTCCTGTAGTGTAAGGACAAAAGGGTCGGTGGGTCCGGGTGTCCTATCTCGGGTGTCCATGGTATCTGTTCATAAACAGTTATAATCCAACAATTAAAAAGTAAAAATTACATATAAGCGATAACAAAATACAGAATTTCAAATCTCATACTTCAATCTAAAAATCCAACTGTTACAATCATTTGAAATGTAGAAATACAATCACCATACTATTCTACTACATCACTCTAGATAACAGAAAAAATAAAAAATTAGTGCCCGGTCGATCTAGAGGGACACGATCTCTTGTGACTATGGTAAAGCCGTCTGAGTGCTCACTTTTTTTGGTGCCTCGTAGCGATCAACCATAATTCTTCTTGCACCGCAGATGAAGGACCTTCTCATTCAAGGTCACTGTGGTGTAGAATTGGTTCCTTTGTATAGAATACTTCTTCACCATTTCCTGAAGCAGTTTCTTAGATTCAAAGAACATACCCTTCTCAAACTCCCCCCCCCCCCCCCCCCCCGATCACAAATGTTGTATGACTACCTGATTCAGCCTAATATTGATCAACCTCATAATTCTCATTTACTTGACTTAACCAAGGAATAGGAGTTCTAACCATGGCCTCCCCACCTTCCATGTATGTAGAATCAACATCCATGTTATCTAGAATTGGTTCCTCCTCTTTGCTCTCAGCCTCATCATTTGTTTCCCGGAGCGCATCATATAGAGACAACTCGTTATTCACCATATGTTGTAGATTTTCAAGATGATTCACCAATGGTTGAGACGGTGATGTATGATCATCATGCTGCGTAGGTGAATAACTTTGGAGTTGCATGGGAGAAGATATAACTGTGTTCGATGTCGAAGGCCCAGATTGGCCAAACATTGTCGTAGATGTTCCACCATATACAGGTGAAGCTATATGTGAACTCAACGACATCTGGAACCGATCGTCATGAAGCAGTCTGCTGAAGGACCCCATCCCATATTCAGTTGATGGAATGTCTTGTGAGGGCATTCGGAAGGACTCTGTGTAACCGGAAAAATAAGTAGTTTGTTGATCTGGTCGAGTACTTTGTTGCGTACACGTAGACACTATTTCTACATATATCTCATGTGGATAACCCCTCATTAAAACAGCGCTCCTCAAAGCTTTCAAATGTCTATCGTTAGAACAAGGTAACACTTGAACCGCATTATTAGTCTCAAACCTCATTTGAATGTTAAGTTGTACATTCATTCGGTTTAAGCCAATAATGCTATGAACCTCGTTCATCAGATCGTTGAAAGTCATGTCTGGTCCAAGTGGCAATGGTTCCATATTTCCACCACTATACTGGACATTCGGTCCATCAGACACAAATTCACCCCCCCATCGGCATAACAAAGCTGCGTTTTGTGCAGCTATATTCTATACAACAACCAAAAACACATCTTAATTGCATGCAATCTCCACCAATTCGCACAATAACAACCAAGAAATTCACACTACAAACATAATTAACCATCATTGTTCCAATTCACATAACAACCAAAACAAAGTACACAACGAACATATTCACACTAACAACCAACGTATTCTACATAACATAATTTTCGTAATTAAACGACAATGTAGGCTATTTTATCAAATTAAAACAACAATTTCATCAACAATATCAACAATTTCATCAACATTTTCAACATTTTTACCAAACATTTCCACAATTTCATCATAAACTTTCTTACTAAACTAACATCAATTTAGGGCTTTTATACTAAAGTATTATCAAATTACAACAAACTAACTTAGAATTATCAACATAATTATCAATTTACATCAAACTAACTTAGAATAATCAACAACATTATCAAATTAAAACAATGTACTATATAATTATCAAACTAACCTAGGTTTTAAAATTTTAAAAACAAAGAGAAGTACCAACAATGTCATTAAATGAAGAGGAGAGTTTGAGAGAGAGTACCAACAAGGCGGCGACGGCGGCGGCAGCAGCACACTTTCCGGTGGCGGGGAGGCCTAGTACAACGACGGAATATCCGTTTTAGAGAGTTTGAGCAAGTTTGAGAGAGTTTGAAGTAGAGTGAATAATGTGATGTCGCGGTTTTCTGTGGCAATATACCAGCAAAAACCGCTGACTGAGGCAGCGTCTTTCCCTTGTTAATGAAACGCTGCCTCAGGCAGCGTTTTAGAAACTACCTAAAAACGCTGCCTCAGTCCGCGTTTCACTGTATTTCATGTTTTTTTAATTTGGCATTTTAAAATTCGAAATTTTAAAAAAAAATAAAAAGGAATAAAACGCTGATCGAGTCAGCGTTGAAGCTCAGTTTCGTAAATAGTTTTGCCACGCGTCTATTTTCGTAAATTGTTTTTCAATTAGGCTCAGTTTCGTAAAAAATCCCAAATACATTAAGCTAAACATGTTCCTCTCTTTTGACATAAGATTATATGACTCTAACCTCTCACCCAAAAGTGTTTTTGTGTGAGAGTGGTGTGAGAACCATAGGGAACGTGACTACAAATACAATTAAGTACCATTTTTGTGTCGGAATTTCATTTTCAGTTAGTGATTTACATCACGACACACCATATTTGTTGTGTTGATTATAAGATCAATTGATCAACATATCAATCTTATTGTTTATTCCTCTCTCGTAGTCTTGAAAACATCTTATTTTACAACAATTTAATTGAAAACGAAATTATTAATTTTTAATGGCTACTCAATTGGTATTGGTCGAAAGATTGTATGGTATAAAGAAAAATAATTTTTTGGGGAAAATTTTTTGTTCACGTTTTTCTAGGAGCAATCCTGAAGATGGCCCCTGATCGCTCGAAAGTCAAATTTTGTGAGTTTGGCTGAAATTTTGGGAGCTTATTCGGGACATATAAATCTTATTTTGAATTAATTCACTTTTCAATAAACTATCATCGACAAATGCAATGTTTTATTCCATTTAACTCACCTGCTTCACATAAGTGACCAAACCAATGCACTTAAAGAAACAAAGAGATTAATAATCCCTAGTCAAAGCATGTCGATACTCAAACCTTTTTTTATTCTTAGATCTTCTATATCTTCTTTCTCTCTCCAAAACACAAGTTTCCAATTGTAGTTTTTATTTTGATTTTTTGGGGTAATTTTACACAATTATTAATTCGGGGTAATTTTGTTTTGGTACAATCTCACTATTTTTTTTGAGTAATTTTATACAATTATGAATTCTGGGTAATTTTATTTTGATATAATCTCACTATTTTCAAGGTAATTTTAATACAATTATACATTCCCAAGTATTTTTTACTTCCTGTTCTAATTTTAGGGAATATCTCATTATCCAACCTCAAAAACTAATTTGCGATCGGACCCAGAAAACAACAAAAAGAACTGCCAATAGCAATTTGGTTCTTCAAATACAACAGCTACCAAAAATTGCGATTGTAATGTAAAGTAAATCCGCTATCATCAATTGTGGTTTTACACTTAAAAATACGTGGACACTATTTAGGAATAAGTTTTTTAACAACACAAAAAAGAAATTAATTTTTTTTTTTTTTTTTGAAATAAAGTAGGAATTAATTTTGATTTAAACAAATTCTATAAAAATCGTTCAAATAAATTAAAACGAATAAAAATAAAAAATAACTTAAGCAAACATCATCTTACCAAAAACCTAGATCTGTCCTCGTTCTCTCTCTTTCAGTTTCCTATTTAGCGCAACCCACTTTCTCCATTAACGCGACTTCTGATACTTCTATCTTCCATTGTAGCAGCTTCTGAGGTACTCGTAACATTTTGCTCTCATTTTGCAATCATCGAATTTCAATTTCATAATCTAGGATTTTTCGTTGATTTAATTCTCAGTATACTCAATTTAGGGTTCTTCTAAACTCAATTATTGAACTATTGGAGTTATGATTACTAAATTCTAATTTGTTGCTAGAAAAAAAAAAAAAGAGCATAATTTGGTATTTGAATCAAATTTTTCGGATGAAACTATAAAATTGGACCTTTTCTCCCTAAAATTATGAGACTAATTTGATAATTGAATCATATTTGGTTATTTGTTCGATTCATTTTGCTGCAATTAGTTCGTATTTTCAGTATTCCTGATATTCTTTATTGAAAGTTATTTTCTTGTTCTTGAGGTATAGTGGAATCTTCTATGGATCCTACATCGACTCAAGTCGATGGGGAAGACCCGGAGAATGGAAAGAAAAATGGGCTAATCGGCAAGCCTGGTAAGAATTTCGAATTCTCTAAGTGAAGTGTGTCTGAATTTTACTATTTAAAACCTTATAAGCAAGGTAAGTTATGGCGTAAAAGTAAGAAATGCGGTTAATCGAATTTTGCTGATAGCAAGTGTGTTGCTAGTAATTTGCTTCGTCTTTTTTCTAGTTGATTAGAGGAAAGATATTGGGATGTATGCTAGATGCTATTGTAGGCAAATGCTGCTGGTCTGCATTTGATTTTGATGGGTTTCGTTAATTACTAGATACTGCTATGAAGCATGGGTTGCCCGTGTGAAGTGCTAAAGGTAAATGGGTCAGGAATGCATTTTTACCCCATTCATAGTTAACCTCTAGATACTTACATCGCCTTGGTAAAGCCGATATCTCTTTCACTTGTAAAGTGTCACTCAAATTTATACACTACTATACACAATAATTATCAATATACCTCATATCGGCTAAAACACTTTTAAAATTACATGCTTCATGCTTTTTATTGACTGACTTTTGCACTATTAAAATATTAGTGACCAATTTTCTTATTTTTTCCCACGTCACATCTTAATCACCTCTTTTATTTGACACATTTTCTTGGGTGATAAAATGTATGGTGGTTATCAATTATTTTAATGAAGAACTAGGCAAGGTGAAAGATATGTGGGAAGAGAAAAGTATTGAGTAGTCAAAGTTGTGCATCCACTAGCATGAAAGTCTATATGTTGCAATTGCTGTGCAACAAAAAGAGTTGTCCTTGGTCCATTACACCATTTATATTAGCTGTCAATGACAAAGTAATTACAATAACTTCAAGATGAAGAATAACATTCCATTTCCAATCTAAAATATTACCTATAATGATCGAACTTGGCAACTAGCTTCATTGTACTCATTTATGATGGCCAAAGTGCAAACATGAAAGATGGGTTAGAATGTGAAGGAAGAAGATAGACAACTATTTTCACATAGAATCAAACTTAGCCTTTTATAAGTGATCAAGAGTCTTTCTTTAGTAATGTACCATCAATTACAGCTTGATATGGTTGATTTACTATTTCATCTATATATAGTGTTTTAATCCAATAACATGTTTAATTAGGCCAAAACACTAGAAATATTACTTGTATTGTTAGAGATAAGTTTGGTTCCTATATGGGAGGTAGTTGCTTTTTTTTTTGGGTACTTTAAGCATAATATTATTGGTGAGAGAAGGTTTATTGTCCAGCAAAGAATATGATAATGGCCAATATATAGCCATCAAGTTTTCACATTCCTTTTTCTCCTTGTTGATCCTTCATTGCCATTGCTTTATCTTTCTCCATTCCATAAGATATAAGTTTAGTTAAAAAAGCTTAAATTGCATCGAGGCACACTAGGCGGCAATGGTGTGCATCTTTCATAGTTAGGTGCACATCATTTTTGTAAAATGTTTTGTGTTATTGAATTTTCCGATTAATAGAATATAGATCTGAGCTAAAAGAAGGGGAGGGAGGTTCCATGTGACTATCCTAGTAAATATCTAACTACTTTGCGGGGCGTACTTCTACATTGTATAGTAGGAAAAAAAAAAAAAAAATCTAAAGCCATCCTCAAAGTCTCCTTATTGAAAAAGATTAAAGGATGATAAAAGAGGGTTAAAGAAGAAATTAAGATCAAAGAGAGAGAAAGGTGAAATTTACCTAAATGCTTGTTGTTAGATGGCCATTGGAGCTATGGTGGCAAAGATGATTGAAGATGGCCAATAGATATCTATTTAGGAATTTTCTAAATTGATGAAAATTAATTTAATAAAATTAGGGTTTTTGATTTACAAGTCTCTCTTTCAGGTAATTTCGAGAAAATTCCATTGTTTTATAGTATTGGCTCATCATCCTTAAAAGAGTGCACTTTAAGTGCTTTCTCATCACGAAGTTAAACTCTTCGCATTGGTTGCCTAAAGCGTTTTCACTTGCTATTGGGATCATGTAGTGTCTAAGTTGTTTTTATTACTTAGGATATAAGCAAGCTCCTTAGAATGGTGATTAGGGTTTCCCTAGTATAATAACGAGTACAATTATGTTGAAGAACATACGTATAGACACTTATAATTCATATCCTTAAATTAGCAAAATTAATTATTCAGACTCTAACTTGGAGTTACTAAAGCTGGTTTGCACAAAGATGGGTACGGGGATCAATGTTTGAAAAAGAGCGCATGAATGCCTTAAAGGCACACAACATTTTTTTTTTTCGCATAAAAATTATTGACTAGTGCTTGAATGCCTTAAGGGAAGTCCATAGCGCCTTGGTGTACCTTTTTACACATTGGACAAGGACGAAAAACAACAATTTTCAAAATTCTAGGGTATGCATACGACATGGAAAAAGAAAAATTATACTTTGTAAAAATTCAAAAATAAAATAAAGAGAAAAAAAATTCAAAATTATATTTCTTAAATACTCCCTCTATTGTACTCCCTCCGTCCCTTAATTACATTCTTACTTTCCTTTTTGAGTTTTTTAAAATTATATTCCTACTTTCCCTTTTTAGTAAGTGATTTTTTACAAAATATCCTTAAATTATGCCTAAATAGTTGTGATATCGCATTATTTTTAATAATTTTTCTATTTTGCAATTAATGGTTGCTCAGAAACCGTAATTTTTTCACTTAATTTTCTCACTTATTACATTCTAAATAAATGTGCAGTACTATAATTCAATATGATTGGTCCTTTTATTTTTCATAAACAAATGTAATTGGTCTTTTTTCTTTTGAAAGGATTAATGATATGTGATTTATTTAATATCATTCTATCTTTGTTTTAAAATTTCCATAGTACTTTCTAATTATGGGTTTTAAGGTTAATCCAAGCTCCTTAATTCCCGTGTAAATTTAGAAACAGGAATGTAAATAAGGGACGGAGGGAGTAGAGTAATTTGCACGTTTGTTGCGATTCTTTTTTTTTTTTTTTTTTTTTGTTTTTTTTTTGTTTTACTATTTATTTATTAACTTTGATCATAATTTTTTAGTAACGTATTAAAAACAATTTTTTTATCATGAAATTTATTAAAATAAAGGTTCATAATATCTCCTCTTTTTCTGTTACTTTCGTTTTTGAAAGTTGGCTCTATTCTCTTTTACTTTAAATAATTTTAGTTCAGTAAAAATTTTAGTTTGATAAAAATAAGTGCAATTAAATTAGTAACTATAAAGAAAGAATAATAATGAGTTAGGTAAAATAATTTGAATTAAGTAATAACAATTCAGTAAAATTAATTCAGTTCAACAAAATTAAGCCTAAGAGAACAAGGCCTTACTGTTTATGTGATCAAAATTAAAACAATTTCGACCACTTTTAATGATTTAGGCCTTGTTCACCGAACTAAATTTCTTTCGAATGAAATGAAATTATTTTTATTGAATTAAAATTGTTTTTACTGAATTGAAATTATTTTTGCTAAGTTAAATTATTTTACTGAATTAAAATTTATTTTACTAAACTAAAATTATTTTTATTGGAGTGGAATTATTTTATTTGATTCTCAATTATATTTCTTCTTTAAAGTAAATTATTTTTACTAAACCGACATATTTTTACCTAACTAACATTATTTTTACCAAACTTTAACTTATTTTTACCAAACAAAAATTATTTTTGCTAAATGCTCCCGCCATTACAATTTGTTAGCCCCATATACTATTTTGGGCATTTCTAAACGATCTACCCATATTGAGTGTATTCCACTTTTAACTTATATTAAATTTTGATTGGTTTATTTAATTGATTGTGAATTGATGACTTGACTATTATGCAAAGAAATTATTCCCTTGGATTATGCAATTATGTTTGACGGTTTCCTAAAAATTCAAAATAATTTAAATAAGGCAAAACTACTTATGAATTGTTTTTGACTTTAATGTTACATTCCAAATATTCTTGTTTTTTTTTTGGAAAAATGGAAAAGAAAAATCCAACCTTTCAACTTTTTCTTTACAAAAATCCAACCTTTTGATTATTCCTCAAAAATCCAACCTTTATACCCCTCCTTCTTCAATAGGTTCATTAATAGGTTCATTACCTGTTGATCACCGATTTTTATGAGTCATATTCCACGTGTCAGCTATTAATAGGTTAATTATTTTTATAATTATTAAAAAACAAAAAATATTAAAAGAAAAAGAAAAAAAAATTCAGAAAACCAGCTCCACCCTCTCCCTTCCCTGACCACCCCAACCCACCGCCCACCGGAACCCAGCACAGCCACCAACACCCCAGCCACCAACCCCACTGCCAGCCACCAACACCACTGCCAGCCACCAACACTCACGCCCAGCCACCATCCCCACCTCCGTCCAAACCCAAACCCCGCAACTCCAAAACGCCCAGCCCCGGAACTCCAAACGCCTAGCCTCGCAACTCCAAAACGCCCAGCCCCACATCTCCAAACGCACGGCCCCGCAACTCCAAACGCACAGCCACCGGTTTCCATCACTCTCACTGCATTCTCCGACGCGACAACGGGGCATTTCGCTGGCTCTCATCTTCCTCAATTGCTCTCCTCATCGCACTATCCAAGTCCACCGCCATCCTCTGTTCATCCTCGATCTTCTTCAATTTCAGCATCAATTTCTCTCTCCACCTCATCTTCAATCACATTCAGCGCTCTCACCCCATTCTCAGTTGTAGAGTAATCATGGCCGTTGTTTATGTTGCTGTGTTGATCAACCGTGTCATTCGGATCATGATATCCGTTTATATTCGGGCTATTTACATCGCCGTCTTCGTTGCCGCCGAGGGTTGGTGGAAATCTGCAGAAGTGTTGAGTGTGGTGACGGAGGTGGGGTCGGTGGTTGAGGTGAGAGGAGAGGAGTGAGAAAGAATAGGAGTGAGAAGAGAAAATGCAAAAATAATAAAAATAAAAAAAAAAACTTTTTTAACCTGTTTATCAGGTCACAAGTAAAATGGACCTGTTGGAGAAGGAGAGGTATAAAGGTTGGATTTTTGAGGAATAATCAAAAGGTTGGATCTTTGTAAAGAAAAAGTTGAAAGGTTGGATTTTTCTTTTCCATTTTTCCTTTTTTTTTTTTTTTTTTTTTTTTTTTTTTATGTGATGTGATTGATTCTATATGGGACTATCATATTGTTATTATTTATATAAGGTGAAGTGCACGGGGCATTATTAAAAAGAATTAAATAAGCATGCGGGATCTTATTAGATTCGCCTTAGCTTTAATTGTCCAAATATCAGCCTTATAATTTCCACTTACACTAAGCTAAAAAAATATTAATGGTCAAAGATGTAAATTGGAGATCGTGCAAATGCAAATGAACTGAAATATATTAGCATGTGGGGTCTAAGTGTTGCAAATATTTTGAAACAAAGGAAGTATCTCTTAGGACAACCTAGGGTATTGGCATATGTGTCAAATTTGACTATGTCAAATTAATCTCAACATGAAATTTAAGTTTTACTAAAACTAATAATTTTTTTCTCAAAAAAGTTAGACAAACTCTTATCACGTGACTTGTGAAATATAGGGTGGATGATTTGGTTCATGTAAGCTATGTAAAATAATATGGAGAGAAAAAATGAAAAAAAAAAAAAAGAAGAAATAAAATTCAATCTACCATATGTCCCTAAGAAAAGTCGTTGCATACTAGACGATACATGAGAGAAGAAGATAGAACATTAAAAGATGAAACAAGTCAATCATTGATGTTTTATATCCTTTACCGCATCTCCCTTCACCTCTTCCCTGCCATTGCTCCTACTAAATTTGATTTTCTCTCTTTTTCTTTCCTTGTCCCATTTGAAAATTCAAGATACATACTCTAGGCATCTCCGTCCTTGAATTGTCAGGTACATGAAACGTCCTTCCATTTGTCCCTCGTGCAATGTATAACATGAACACCTTATCAAGAATGATTGAAATCATTGTAGATTAATACTATAATTACTAGATGATATAGATCCTACACACGTTCTTTCTTAAGCCTAATATATATTTTTTGAGCTGCATTTTCTCATAAACTATTTGGAAAAAGATTTTGAATGCAGTTAATTTTAATGACTTAGTGATGGTAAACAATTTAATTCCCAATTTCCCCCCCTATTTTCAAGGGACTTCTCCAATTCTCCAAAAAAAATTCAGATTCTAAATAATTCAAAGATAATAACGCACAAAAAATTTCTAAATTAACATAGGCATTGTGTCTTTTCTCTTGATGTCAAGTTTTGGCTTTCCCATGACAGATCTGTCATGGAATCATATCTTTAATTGCTGGCCCATTCAAGCTATTGAAGATTTGAACAATTTTGAATAGAATATAGTTTATTGAGGGCTAAAAACCCCATGGACCATTAAAGGATAAATGGATAAAGTCCATTCAAGCTGTTGCACAATTTTGAATGGAATATAGTTTACCATGGACCATAGAAGGATAACTCTATAAATTAAATGCTAAATGGTGTATTATAAATGATGCAAGCTGTAGTTATTAGTAGTTGGGATTTGTGGTTTTGTCCATCTAATGTTGTGAGTGGTATTTAAGTTATAAGTAGGTATTGATTATTTATTTGATGTCATTTATGGACTAGACAATTTCTGAACATGCTTTTTACTTATGCAAACTTGATTAAGAGCTTTATGCATGATCAAAGTTGATGTTATATCTATGGCAATATGATCATTAAATTGGTTTTACATGTTATTTAATTTAAATTTATTGTTCTATGCAGGTCCTGGATTGTTTGACGCATCGCAGTATGAATTTTTCGGCAATGATATTGTTGAAGAAGTGGAATTGGGAGGGCTTGAAGATGAGGAGGATATTCCTATAGCTGGGATTGAAGATGATTATCAAATCGACCATGAAGAGGTGTATATTCTTCGATTGTATATGTGACTTTGTTTGAAATCTGTGTTTTTGTTTAGATTCTATTAATTTAACTGTCCTATTGCTTTCCCTCACATTTAATCATTTGCAATATTCTTGTCTATCTGGTAGTCATTTTGATGTTTGTAGGGATTGTTAAATCGATGAGCAGCCCTCCAAATTGATGTAGGCCATGTAGCATATAACCTCATTTTTTTCTTTTGAAACTTTTTACGTTTGTTGCATGCATGGAAATAAAGCACTAAAAACTTCTAAAGCTTGTTGCATGCATGGAAATAAAGCACTAAAAGAAAGTGTGTGAATTTCGGGCAACAAATGGGGAAATGATTGGCCACTTCCCATCAGGCCACCAATTAGTGGGCAGGTTGTGTGAGTTCTCTTTATAAAAAAAAAAAAAAATTGTAATTAGGCTGGTTGTAGTGAGCTAAATGAGAGTATAATTCTCTATTTGTGGTGTACTAACATATATGATTAGCTGATGTGCACTCGTTAATTTTTAGTCTTACAATGTGAAGAGTCCATGGATATTATTGTTGGCATTGCTGTTTTGTTTGCATTATTTTACTATATTGTTGCTGCATTAAAAATTAAAATTACCTTGTCAAATGCAAAATTATAGGGCATTATATATGATAAATGCAATGCTATTTGCCAATATGCATCATTAATTCATTATTGCAATCTGAACTAATTTTAATTGATTTTATTTTATTATTATTATTATTATTATTAATGTGGTAAAGTAATTAAGGCCTTACATTGTGAATAATATCTTTAAACTCTTGAAAAAAAAAAAAATTTGGAGACAAATTTTGTGTAATATTTTCTCATAGTAGAACTTAGTAGTCATTTGAACTGTATTTTTCCTCCGAAATTGTGTAAATTCTTTTCATTATCCCGATGTGTTTCCTTCTGCTCAATAGAATAAGCTAGGTGGTGAAGCGTTAATTCTAAATGTAATGAATAAAAGTAGTTTATTGCCATTTGTGTTAAACCTTTAATGCAATAAAAAATAATAATTATTTTTAGTTGACACCTTTCTATTATCACGTTTGCCAACGCATGTTTTAACACTAAATATCTCTAATCATCAACATTGTAAAACTATAAAAGTAGCTATTTACTTCCTCCGGTCCAAATTACTCGCAACTTTGGGGTATTTGTGAGATATAAAATATTCCAAAGTTGCGAGTAATTTGACCGGAGGTAGTATAAAATATACATCGGGAAGATTAAAAAAAGATCCCACATGACTATATTTTATCGTATCTATAAGTCACAGAAGTGAGTCAAAGTGTAGTGTGTGAATAGTGTAAAAGTCAAACGGAGGTAGTATTAAAAAAAAGAAAAGATCTGTTTTTCAATTTGTTTAGAAAGTACTCAATATATGATAATGTGTTTGGCTTCAAATTGAATGTGAATAGATGTGTTCTTTTAAATGTAAACTACATGTAGTGATTTTGTTAAGCGATAGTTTTATTTCATAATTAGTAATAGTACCTGCTTATTAGAGAATATTCGGTCACAATATATTTTTGATGAATTGGAGAGGTCCTATGTTTTATTTCTTTGAGTAAACTGTAATTGTATCGAAGAAGGTAATCCCCACAAAGTTTCAAGCCTTGATCAATATTCTAGAGCATTATCTTCGGTTTCTTGATCTTTAAAGCTGAGATAGTTGTTGATATTCTCATATTCAGTCATCATGTTAAATTATGGATTTAAAATATTGAAAGTAGTGAGTATGCTCATTAAAAAAAAAAAAAAAGAAAAAAAAAATGAATATTTAATCCTTCCCCCGTTTCCATGTTATTGCAACAATTAATATCAGACCATCTCCATTGGTGAAACTCAACTTTGAGTATTGAAATACAAAATGAGTTGTTTTTTTACCTTTAATGGTGATACCTAATCTACTTCTCAGTTTAGCAACTCATGTGAAATCTAATTTCCCAATGGTGAGACTATCTAAAGTATACTAATGTCACTTTTAATTTATGGCCCACCAAATCCGTATTATAAGTTTTTCAAAAAATAAATATAAAACTAAAACTTAAATAAATTACAAATATATTATAATTATAATATTGATAAAGGGCCTACACTTTTGTCAAATTCTTTGCAAAAAATTCTCTCCTAAAAAAAACTCCTTCAAGTCTCACCATTGGAGATGGTCTTATGGGAAGTTTCACAAATATTGCAACATTTCCTTATTTGTACATGGTTTCTTTTCTATCTCACTCCTAATCTTAAAATCTTTGCAATATCCCATGTTGCAATATTAAGGGAACGGTGGAAGTATTTTATTTCTTTCTTGAAAACAGACCAAATGATGTTACTGTATACGCTACTGAATTTAACTCAGCACACTTTTGACTTAATTAATGTCTAGAATTTTTTTATCCCAAACTAAATTCCCATTTTAAATTTTGAATAGTCTTTCATTTGAATTTTTGCTGTATATAATTGCATTCTGCATATTAAGTGTGCTCTAATCATGGTATTGTTCAAGCAGCATCTGATTTGAATATTAATATCTATATCTATTGGAATTTTACTCTGCAGGTTGATGGCATTGGATCTTTTTCTGATATTGATGATCTGGCTGGTGCTTTTACAAAGGTCAGTTAGTTAGATAGGCTTTATCTATTGACTTTATTACTATCGGTGAATATATGTGAAAGTGCCAATCTAGTTTGTGTGAATTGTACCCCACTTTTCCCTTTGTTTTTCTTAATTTCCCAAAATGCTGAAAGAGCATTGTGTTGACTGATCACTTAGTTTTGTATCTCTCTAATTGTAGGGAGTTCCTTAGATTGTACTCATGTGACAAGCAAACTCTGTAAATTGGAGAAATATTTCTACAAAGTTGATTGAACTGCATCTGATTGTCGTAGAAGCAAGTATTGATTTGTCTCTGATTTTTAATTATAGATTTTATTTTCTGTAAGCTCACCTGATCAGTGATCACTTAAGTGCAAAGTGGTTTGTTTCTAATTCTTAATTATATAACTCCTGATTTTTCTAAGTACCCCATTGACACTTTTTGCACTATTCATTGGACTCACTTTGACTTATGTTTGTAAATTATATCTACATCAGAAAAAATATAGTCTTGTGGGTACTTATTGATCATCTCAATGAATATATTTTATATATTGAATTGTTGTAATTTATACTTACTGAAAATTAAAGATATTATTGGTCAAAATTCTGCATCGGCATGTGTGCCAAGCTCCAATGGGGAGTGCTTGTTTTCTCAAGGTTCATCTGATCACTTAAGCGCAAGCCTGATAATGGGCTTTCAGCCCTTCAGGAGCTATACTTATTTATAGATGTCTTTCATGGTTCTCTCTATCCCTTTTTTGTTTCTGTCTCCATTAGGTTTTCAGGACTATTGTGATTTCATGCAACTTATTAAAATGAAATTGGGGCTTGTTTGGTCACTGGTAACAATGGAGGTGATGAATCTATATATAGCTTTGTAAGAAAGTTCCTTGCCAATGCAAATGGTAATACTCCAGTACCCCAAGTATCTCTTTTTGTACGACAAATTTTCATCACCATGCAATTCCATTGCATGGGAAGCTAATAGAAAGTTGTGAAAAATAATATTTGTTTGGTGATGGTATTGTGATACCATGAACATTGTAATTGGGCGTTCTTTGCAAAGTTGTATTTATATTCATTCCCAATAGCTCGATACATTACCTCTTTTTAAACGGGCCAATAGTAGTGTAGGCTCCCTACCAACATACTTGTGCTGCAAATGTTGTGGTTTTTTACTTCATGGTAATCATTTGGTGAAATTCAGAAGTTAATAACCTTTCTTGAGGGACCATGTGGAAGTCAAGTAGTGAAGTACTCCATATATGATTATTCCCCAGTGCACAAGGTTCCTGCTACATAGTGCAGGTCTGGGGAAGGTCCAAATGTATGCAGCTTTACCCTTGTTTTCATTAAGAGGCTGTTTCCTTGTGTTGAACCCATGACCTAGCAGATAGCAAGTACACACTTAATAATGTGTACGACCTGTGATCATTCTTGAGGGACCATGTGGAAGTCAATTATGTGTTTAAAATCCCTTGTTAGTGTGAAACCTTGTGCTTTTTCTTTGGTTTTGTCATTATTTCTGTTCTCTTTCCCTCCCAAATGTTTCTAAATGTATTAACAGAGGACTTTTTGAGTGAGATTGGACTTTCAGTGCTAGTTTTGCCTAAACCGATTGGTGCTTTTCATGCCTCTATTGTTTGTTTACTGCGTTTAATGTTTGTTTAAGAGCTTATGTTGGTACAATTTTATTTTTATGCAGCTAAACAGGACAGTCAGTGAACCAAGAACTGGCTTCATTGGTGATATGGGGTCCAGAGAGAGTGAGTATAATCATATATCTCATAAATTTGCTACATTAAGTGTGACTATTGAACTCTTTCCTTGCTTTTCATTATCTTGGGATTTGAATGCTTACCGGAGTTCCTTGTCAGTTGATAGACCATGGCCTACTTATTGTGTAAAATCAAGCTTCTATAGCTTAGCTAATGGTATAGTGATTTAGTTCAATCATCCAAAATAGTGAATTTTTCCAGACTTCCTTAATACCGTGGAAGACTGAGCCATTTTGGTTATTTATTGACCTCGAAGTTTGGACGAAGGTGTATGTGTTATAATTATTTATGCTTAAGCTTAGTTCGTATTTTGTTTAGTACAAAATTTTCTTGCTGTTTTGTAGGAGATGTTTGATTTTTGGACTGATAAGATCAGGGACGAATGATGTGCAACTGAAGGTCCTGATACTTTACATGAGCATGATAGCTGTATTTGTTGCATGGAAGGTCTTTTAGATGGAAAAGGAATATTGAGCCAGAAAATGTTTTTAAAATGGAATTTATCCAAGAGTTGCCACAACTCCATTTACTTGTATTATTTGTTTCTGAGATTTCTTGCATATGATCCTTAATAAAGTTCAGAGGATATAGTATCTGTCGTAGAATCCTGGTGACTACGGTGACTTTTGACTATTGTTGTCTTTCTTGGCTCTAGAAATAAATTGTTAAAAATTATAAATTTGCTGTCTCCTTTCCTCTATCTGCAAAATCATCCTTTGTGGCTTGATCTGCTTTCGTTGGTCCAGAATATACGCAGCATTAAAATTTCATTGAGCTCTCTCAAGTCTTGACCCATTTTGATTTTTGTAGGTTCTTCTGCAGCTGAGTGGTCACAGGATATTGACTATTCAGCCTGGTATAATCAACATGAATATCATCCAGAAGGTGTACCTGAAAGCAAAAAGTGGTCTTCACAACCATATGGCTCCTCTGTTCGTGCTGCAGAGTCTAATTCATTGCACAGAACGTCATCATATCCTGAGCCCCCGCCTCAGCTTCTTCCTCAACGACATCAAAATTTCTCTAGTGAACCAATTCCCATGCCTAGGTCTTCCTTCCCCTCCTATCCTTCTTCTGGGACCAGGCCACAGATGCTTCCACCAAACCACCATCCACAGCATACAAACAATCCATACCTTTCTGGTGGACCACAGATGACACTGCATTCACAAACATCCTTTTCTGGTCCCATGTCTGGTTTACCTCATGGTTCCCATCTTGCTTCAAATCTGCCTCACTTCTCCCCTCCAGGTCATTCTATGGATGGTCGCCCTCCTGGACAATGGTTAGATCGTGCCAACCTTGTGAACAACATGTTGCAACATCAATTACCACATCAGAATGGATTGATGCCTCAGATGATATCTCAGCAGCAGCAGCAGCAACAACAGCAGCAGCAGCAGCAGCGACTGCACCATCCAGTTCCTCCGCCTTATGGTAATTTAACTGGGGTACATTCTCAACTTTATGGCCCCCATATGTCTGCATCACCGCCCATGCTGAACAAATTTGATGCAATGATGGGGCTCCCTGATTTCAGAGATCAAAGACCTAAATCATCGCAGAGGAACAGACAAAATTTTCGGTACAACCAACAGGGTTTTGATTCAAATGGTCAGAGGAATGATGGTGGGTGGCCAGTATACAGGTCAAAGTATATGACATCAGATGAAATTGAGAATATTCTTAGAATGCAGTTGGCTGCGACACACAGCAATGACCCATATGTAGATGATTACTATCACCAAGCTTGTCTTTTCAAAAAATCTGCTAGTGCAAGGTTGAAACATCATTTTTGCCCCACTCAACTCAGAGATCTGTCTCCAAGAGCTCGTCCTACTGATGAGCCCCATCAATTTCTTCAAGTTGAGGCATTGGGAAGGATTCCTTTCTCTTCTATCCGCAGGCCAAAACCCCTTCTTGAAGTTGATCCTCTGAATTCAACTAGCTCTGGCAGTGGTGAACAAAAAGTTATTGATAAACCCCTAGAACAAGAACCTATGTTGGCTGCAAGAGTGACTATTGAGGATTGTCTTTGTCTTCTTCTTGATATTGATGATATAGACCGTTTCCTTCGATTTAATCAATTCCCAGATGGTGGTGGTGAACTGAGACAAAGGCGGCAAAGCCAGCTGGAAGGATTAGCAGCCTCATTACAGCTGGTAGATCCACTTGGTAAAGATGGTCAAGCTCCTAAGGATGATCTTGTATTCCTACGAATAGTTTCTCTCCCCAAGGGACGGAAGCTTCTTGCAAAGTTCCTAGGTATAATTTCCTCTGGAAGTGAGCTCCTCCGGATAGTTTGCATGGCCATTTTTCGTCACTTGAGATTCTTGTTTGGTACCCTTCCTTCTGATCCAGCCGCTGCTGAGGTGACTTCTTACCTTGGGAAGGTTATAGCTTTGCGTGTAAGTGAAATGGATCTTAATGGACTGGGTGCTTGTCTCGCTGCAGTTGTCTGTTCCTCAGAGCAACCTCCACTTCGGCCTATTGGGAGTTCTGCTGGAGATGGTGCCTCTGTTGTTGTAAAATCAGTTCTTGACAGAGCAGCTGAGTTACTTAGAGACGCCCATGAATTTTCCAATCCAGCCTTCTGGCAGGCATCATTTAATGAATTTTTCAATCTACTCTTGAAATATTGCTTGAACAAGTACGATAGCATTGTGCAGCCAATGCAAACGCAGGGATTGCCAAACATGACCACTGATGTGGCCAAGGCTATTAAGAAGGAAATGCCAGTTGAGCTGTTACGAGCAAGTCTTCCTCATACTAGTGAGCACCAACGGAAACTCTTGCTGGATCTTGCACATCGTTCCGTGCCGTTAGTTGGTTCTGGTGCTCATGGAGGCAGTGGTAGTTTTGATGGTTGAGAATTTGATGTCACATGAACTCTCGAGGCATCAATATGAATTAACAGGCATGTGATTTAAATGGTTTATTACAATGCAGAGTATTTCGATTCCTCGTGTTGCCAAAGTGGAAGAAACTGCTGGTAATCCGTTTGAAGACCCCTGAAATTTGAACCTGTAAGACCAGGTTAGAAGTTTTTTGGTTGTCGATGGTCTTTGATGGAGCTTATTTTTTTTATGATGCTCTATAGTTAAAGTAGGATGTACAGGGTCCATAAGTGGGTCCCATGTTCCTGTGTTATTTGGTTTGAAGGAGCTGGGAGAATTTTGCATCACATTGAAGATCAAGTATGGCCGCCATCGGCTGTTCCATTTAGCTATTCATGCATTTAGCCCAAAGCCGTAGAGCTTTTGTAGTTTGGGAGTTGAATCATATAATACGAAGTGGTTGACTTGTAAGCCAGGGAAATTTTAAGATGGCAACGCGAAGATTATAATTGTCTTTATCTTTGCTTGTATGTAACAATAATAAACCAATGTTTTAGATTAATGTTGTTTTAATTTTTGGCCTCATTTCTTTAAGGCTTATTTTGCTGTATTTGTCCGTAACATAATTGATAGTTATGGCATTGTGGCCTCTTTTTTTGGAAAAAAACATATTGAAGTTTTAGTGATTTAAAAGTCAAAATGACAAAACCGGGAGGATAGTTGATAGCTCTAACCATTTGAGCTAAATGTGAAGTACATGTTAGTCAAATGGTATGTCGATTTAACATTTTCAAGTTTTCTTTAGAGACACTATTCTCATGTTCCTTCTGTTGCAAAATAATTGACATATTTGACTTTTTTTTACTTTTTTTTTTCCAACTTTAACCCTTTATATTAACTGTTGTATGAGGTAACATGTTAATAATTTTTTTTTTTTTTTTGGGGGGGGGGGGGGAACTTGTTGGATTAATTATTTTATATAAAGACGGTCAAAGCTGATAAAAAAAAAGTCAAGTGTCTCATTATTCTGGGATGAAATAAGAATATACGGAGTATGAAACACAAGCTTTGTATCGCTAATGGTGAAATTGATTCAACTACTTATTAATCCAATTCCAATTGATAATCAAGAATCAAATTTAAATTTCCATTTAAATCAATTTGTGGGAATGAATATCATGAACATAAGAACATATTAGGCTGTGGGTTTATTTATAATTAAAAAAACAAGATCATTTTGAGTGGTTATTTTCAACCTATCTAAATCCAGGGATGTGAGGTGATTAAAATTGTTTTGAATGTTTATGAGCGTGCTTCGGGGCAAAAAGTGAACTTTAACAAGACTACTGTTTCTTTTAGTGGGGGTGTCGAGGATGGCAAGAGGAATGCGATTGCTTCGACTCTTGGGGTTCGAATGGTTAGTGTCCATGATCGTTATTTGGGTTTGCCCACTACGGTTGGGAGATCGAAGAAGGTTTTAACTAGAGGAGTCAAGGAAAAATTATGGAAAAAGCTTCAAGGGAGGAAAGGTATGTGTTTCAAAAGCGGGTAGGGAAATTTTGATAAAGGCAGTGGCCCAATCTATTCCCACATACGTGATGAGTGTTTTTAGACTACCTTCCTCTTTTTGTGATGAGATTCGATCTCTTGTTTCTCAATTTTGGTGGGGTAAAAAAAAGGGTGAAAGAAAGATCCATTGGCTTAGTTGGAAGAAGATTTGTAGACTGAAAGTTGAAAGGGGCCTTGGTTTTCGGGATCTCAAGATGTTTAATTGGGCGCTTCTATGGAAACAAGCTTGGCGGCTTATGATGCAACCAAACGAGGCAGACCCAGGCAATCAGTCTGATTGGCAAAATTTTGTCAATCAGCCACTGATGTGGGCCATACACCGTACTTGCAATTAATATTATATTCATTTGTATGGGTTTTTTATAACAGAAGCAAAATTCCCATTAATGACGGTGGCAAGTAACGGAGCAACCACCACCACCATCTTCTTCTCAATCGCCATCACCATCATAGTCCATCCCAACCACCACCATCTTCGCGTCCATCACCATCACAGCCCCGTGATTCTCTTCGCAACAACGACCCCAACACCGCTTTGCGACGATTACAAAAAGACACCCTAATAGCAAACAATGTAAATTAGGGCCATATCAACCCCTTAGGGAAAAGCCTTACCATCGCAGCGGCATTTTGAACCCTCACAAGTGGTGGTATCATTGGTCTGCAGATTTACTGGCTTGGAGGAAGAAGGTGGATGGGAATTGGAGAGTGGAGGAAGAAAGAGATGAAAATATGATGAAAATACAAAAATACCCCCAATTAAATAACTGAAATGACATTAATACCCCCTGATTTACATCCTATGTAAATCAGCCTGATGAACTTCGATTTCCCCCAACCAAACTCATTACTCCATTGTGTGCTTAAAGCTAAATATTTTCCGAACTCGTCTTTTTTGGAAGCATCCTTGGGTTCCAATCCTAGCTATACTTGGCGAGGCATTCATGAAGCTAAGTGGGTTTTACAGAAGGGAGTGAGATGGAGAGTTGGGAACGGGCAAAATATTCGAGTTTGGGGTGATAAATGGATCCCTGGAACGCAAACTCACAAGGTCTTCTCTCCCTGCAGCCCGAGTTCTGAAGATATGTTGGTTGAGGAACTTATTAGCAGGGAGCGTGGAGCTGAATGGAATGTTGAGAAGCTTCAAGCGACGTAGCTGCCTTTTGAGTGTACTCGTGTGCTTGCAATTCCATTGAGTGAGAGGCTGCCCGAGGATATGCTTTGTTGGGACTTGGAAAAAGATGGAAAATACTCTGTCAGATCAGCTTATAAATTGATCTTTGGTGAAGCTTCTGATGGTGGCAACAGCTCGAGTGATCTTGCTATCCGCAAGATGTGGAATTTGATTTGGGGGGAACCTGTGCTTCCTCGAATCAAGACTTTCTTCTAGCGTGCGTGCCATGAAGCCCTTCCAACCAACAACAGCCTTAGTATTCGTGTCCCTTCAGTTGGTGTGAGATGCAGTTTGTGTGGAGGTGTGAAGGAAGACTCTGCCCACGCAATTCTTAATTGTCCTAGGGCGAGATTAATCTGGGAAGCAAGTGCTCTTGATGATGATGTTGATGGAAGATGGCAGTCCTTCATTGATTGGGTGACAAATGATTTTGTCAATCTGAAAAATGAGAAGAGGACATGGGTTATGGTGTATTGTTGGGCAATCTGGGGAGCTCGAAATAGAGTCTGTTTGAGAATGAATGGAGTGAGCCTGGGGAGGTAGTGGATTATGTGGAGAAGCTTATGAGCGAGATGAACATTGATAAGAGCCCTGATGAGCAGCGAGCTGATGCTTCAACATCTGCACGCTGGCTAGCCCCGTCTGCACCTAAGGTAAAGATTAATGTTGATGCTGGTATGTTGGGTGAAGTTGGCTTTGGAGTAGGTGTTGCTGCCAAAGACAGTCAGGGGGCTTTACTATTGTGTGAAAGCTGTAAATTTGCTGGAGCTTGGGAGCCAAAATGTGCAGAAGCAAAAGCAATCTTGGTTGGGTGAATTTGGCTTTGGAGCTTGGGTTTAAGAACGTGGTGTTAGAGAATGATTGTGAATGAGTTATTAACTCGATTATCAGGAAAGACTCAGGGAACAACGCCTTTCAGTTGCTGCTAGACGATATTCGACATGCTGCTAGTGCTCTTGATTCTGTTAATTGGTTGTGGGTTCGTAGAGGAGGGAACAAGGTTGCTCACGAGCTTGCTCATGTTCCACCATGGGTGTTGGGTAGAAAGCTTTGGTTTGATAATTTTCCTTCTAATGTTTATAAGTTTGTACTGGATGATTTGGTTTTAATTAATGAGTAAGTCTTCCCTTGGTGGGTTGTTTCAAAAAAAAAAAAAAAAGAAAAAAAAAAATTTGGTAAACCAAGTTTGATATTTGCACACTCATTTTAAGAGCACATTTTTCTATCCTCCTATCACATAGAGGTGTGACAATATCTATCAAAGGTATGTGGATTTGTACACTTGAGTAGCGGATCTTGGGTCAAAAAGTTAGGGGGGCCAAGGTTTGACCCCTCAACCTCTTGCATAAAAATAACAATACCTAACCAGTATACCACAAAATTTTATTTGTAATTATTTGACATCATATCAATAACTATATACTAAAGGCGAAATAAAAAATGACACTTGTCATTTTCTGGTTAAAAATTTTCCCGCCTTTTTTTCCCCAAATTTTAATTACATCCCTTTTATAACCATTAGTAATTAGTAATACTTACTTCCATATAACAACATATTTAATCCAATTATACTCAATTAAAATTTTTTTTTTACATATATTCTATTGTATATACTAGGACACTTCTTTATTCCAAAATATATATACTAGGAAACTTTTAAATACAAAAATACTAACATAGATTAAAAATAAGGTATTGGAATACATTATTATCCAAGATTATTATAATATTATCAAATTTTTTTCTCCAACTTTTATCATTTGACAATAGTATTTATTTTAATTAAAAAAAAAAATTCATTTTGGTAACATACTTTGTGTAAATCTTAAATTTATGCATAACTTTTATAAGAACAACCAACAAAATCATTTTGTTATAGTATACATAACATATATTGGAAAATTCAATCTAATTACTCTAAACATTTATGTGATTATAAAAAATAAAATAAATAAAAACCCCAACTACTCACTTAAAATATATATATAAAAAAGTTGATTACGGAATACTAATTATCCTAAGTAAAATAAAACTTTAGGATGTATTTTATTCACCTGATTTTTACATATATAAACTTATCTTAACTTATTAGCCCTTATTAGAACTTATTTTAGTTATAAATAAAACTTGATAGCCCAAATTAACCCTTATCACAACTTATCTGAACTTATTTGAACTTATTAACTCTTATCTGAACTTATTAACCCCGAATAAGTGGAAATAAGGTGAACAGAACAGGGCATTAACTTATCATGTAAGGGCCAATATATATTTCCTCCGTTTTTTTTTTTATTTATTGCACCACTTGTCTTTTAAGGAGGAAGTTTCACAAATATTGCACAATTTATATTTTTGGAAACATAATATACCATACCCTTACTTTGTCCACTTGATTCTTTAGTTTATGTTTACATTACATGGATAACTTTGTAATTTTACCCCTCTCCCTCTTCCCTTTTCCTACTACCAAAAAAAAGTATGCCAACCTCTATAGTGCAATAATAAAAGAACGGAGGAAGTATGAGTTTGTATATGGGTACTAAACTAAACTAATATTTTCGATCATTCCCTTATATAAAACCTTATAGGCTTATAGCTTCTAAATTTCTATTACTATTTTATACAATCCAATTCAACAACCTTTACGTATTTGGTATAAATTAAAATTCAAGTTATTTTGTTATAAATGTTATTTTTGGATAAATTATTGTTGAATTAATTTCATTATTTATAATTTATTTGTTATAAATTCTTAATTATGACCGTGCATAGCACGAGACTCAACCTAATTAATTACTACCTCTGTTACATTATTATGTCAAATCGTTGCAAATAATATGTA